CAATTTTATTTTCTCTCTCCAAACAGTTAATGATAACTGTAAATTCTTAGACTTTTTGTGGACTTAATATACAACCAAGCATTTCAGTGTTTTAAGAACATCATGAAACTCTCGCCAAATAGAATAGCAAAATATTATTACAATATCATGATGCTTTTCATTTTAAGTACAAATGATTACGAATATTGCAACACTCTCATCAAAGATTGCATTTGTCGAGATTTGTAAGCCATACTTCCCATGTATAATTTCATATAACTGTGTGAATGCCTCCAAACTCATGCGAATAAGTGTTTGACATGAAATATTATTACTGTGAATTTGATCTCGAATAATAAGCCATCATTTTTCTCAATCTAAAGTCATAGGTTGTTTGTAAAAATATCTCGTATAATACTGCAACATAGGAGGTATGCATTCTTCCACAATCACTTCTTCTTATAATAATATCATCTATGTAATTTCTTCATCATCAAGATATTTGATTTTACATCAACACAACTCTAGTAATTCAAAATTCTTGATATTTCAAATATATTCGAGTTAAGAATCTATGAAACATATATTCGTTTCTAAAACATATATTAAATACAGACAAGTAACAAAGCTTAATTTTTAATTAATAATATATCATAAAAATCTATCACTAGTTTATCCCGTCATTATCCCTACCATAATTAATTTTTTCTATTATTAACCCTAGGCCTATTGAAAATGTGGTATTTTATAGAATTGTCCTTTAACTATAAACTCTAAATTTAGATTTTATTTGATAAATAAATATTTTAAAATCAATAATAAAAAACTCTTGATTTTATTTAGATTTTCAAATAAATTAAAACCCAAAAACTAATAATCCATTAACTCAAAAATTTTTTTTGTCGTCCAACTATATTATAACGAAAGAAGTCCATCGGGCCATTACAAAGAAAAGTTCGAGGCCCAAGTACAACCCAATTAGAAAATAAACCATTACATGAACACTTGTGTACACCACACGTGTCTATCTAGGGTTTCACACCAATGACATTGACAACAGCGACCACATCTTCGCCGCTGCGCCAAACGCCACCGACAAACCAGACCATCGAACATATCTTCATATAGACTCTTCCACAGAATGGATCCATGCTACACGAACAAAAACCGCAGTCCTCCGTAAAACTCACCGCCTATCATCACTTACCATGACCACACCACCGCTACTACCTTAGCTTAAGGCTTCAAGTCGGGGATTGTGGGGAGGGAAACTCCCAGCCAGGAAGGATAACATCGAATATAGAGAAGAGAGGCCCTGAACCGCAACATAGAACCATGGCTTCAAATCTGTAAAATTACAGAAGAAACCAGAATATGTAGAAGAAAACCAGATCCGGATGAAAGACATCTGGAAGTTATTATCCGAGCTAGTCGGAAGCCAAATCTGTTGACCATCGGAAATTTACAACAAAATATCCGATTACCGGAAAGAAAAACCAAATCCAAACCGACAAACGGAAACCTTGATCTACAACGCTACAAATATTTACAATCTGAACCGGCGAAAACCGCCGGCCGGAAACTAGATCAGATCTGAAATCTGAAAAGCTCGAGAAGCTTCTTTTTTGTTTTTTTTCCTTCTTAGAGAGAAGTTAGAGAGAAAAATTTTAGTTGTGCCGTATCATTTGTTTTCCATTAACTCAAAATTTAAAGTTTCTTTTGTAAACGGTGAACTTAGAAATTATTATTTGTGTGAATAGATAACATTTTTCTCTTGTTTTGAAATAATACTAGATGGTATTTAGTGTGTACTTATTTAAAAATTATTTAATGAGGCCATTACAAAAACAATGAATATATCTGTGTTTCAGAAAGAAAATAATTAACCCCTTCGTCAACAATTGGAGGAAGGGAACTTGTACAAACTTTAGAATTTTAAATAACATTTTTCTCTTGTTTTGAATGAATACAAGATGGTATCTAAAGTGTGTACTAATTCAAAGATTATCAAACTATTAAATGAGGCCATTGCAAAAAACAATGAATATATCCGTGATTAGGAAAGAAACGAATGCAAATCTTATATAACTGAAAAAAGAATATTGCAGACATGTATCATAGTCCTAACAAAGTAATAGATCCTTTGGGTCCTCCTCCATCTTTTTCCTTGTATCCGAATCCGACATCCTCAATCTCTGTCTCAAATCCGCCATAGCTATCATCTTCTTCTTCTTCATAAATTAGGAAAAGAAAAAAGAGAACCCTAGTTTCTCTTTCCTCTCTACCTGATAACCTAA